GCGAAATGATCTGCTTAGAATTTTCAAATTACAAAAAAGAGCGGCTCGGGTAATTTTAGGAACTGACACTTCCTCCAGGTCAATAGCCAATTTCAATAAACTGAACTGGATACCTTTTTATGACGAAGTTAAAATTAACAAATGCACTTTAGTTTACAAGAGCCTGCATGATCAAGCTCCGCAGTATATTAAGAACTTATTTAAAACAAACAATGAAATTAATGGTAGACAAACTCGTCATGGCGAATATAATCTAGTGTGTCCTAAATATAATTATGCAACTGAGGGAGGAAAATCTGTAACGGTCAGCAGCATTAAAATATGGAACAATCTCCCGAAGGATATTAAGACGAAACCTAGCGTTAATTCCTTTAAGTTTGCCCTTAAAAAATACTTCTTAGAATCTTATAAGGGCATCGATCGCTTTGAATTATTATTGTGATCAGCAAGTTGTACTGTATATAATTTGTATATATAAATTTATAATCCTAAGATCTTTTACATATTTACTCTAAATAGCTTTTAGACGTTTTAAAGTAGAATTAATAACTTTGTATGTATTGTATATGAGGGCCACAGGTTTTTCAGTTATATTGCTGTCATGTGTTTTTACCCTCTTTAAATAAAGTTGTTCATTCATTCAAGTACAAACCAGAGATACGCTCGCCTGCATGTAGTTATTTTAACGCGTTTAACAACGAAAACGAATTGTCTTAAAAGTATATCCTGTTTCTTTTTCGCTATCCACTTCTATCCGCTACTACTTCCGCAACCTTGAACCCGTGCTACTTTATCCGCTCTGATTACTGGCAAGTTGCAAACCTAGCTTAATATTGTGTTTATCATTTTATCCACAAGTGGGACACTGCTGTCACAGCATATTTGAAGAATGAATAGTGTTTGAATATATCTTCTATAGTATAAAGCCTTACAATGATAAACATTTAGCATCTTAATCATTTTGAAGTCTTGTTCAACATTCAGCCCGCCCCCTCCTGTTACACATACTCTTTCGACAAATGGTAAACATTTAAGTCGAACGGATATTAAATTGAAAGTGACATCTTAACATTCACCTTATCATCTGCTGCGGACGCGAGGCGAGAAAAAACAAATCGCATATTGCAATTTATGTTTTTCAAACGAAATACACAAGACTATTTTGTGGATGGGTGCATTCTTTACACATTTTTACAACTGATATAATCATTGTAATGTTTACATATTTTCAATAATCTTCCCATTTCTTCTTCTTGACGCATGCATAATGAACATCAAACCGTCGATGTTCGGTAGAATGAACTAGATGGTGGATAGGAATCTAGTGTTCTGTTTACTATATATTCTTGCATGAGTTGGGCACAACGCTTGCCCTTCTCTCCGTGCAATACGTCTCTTCCTAAATTTGCTTTATGGTGGCTTTTGAAATGCGGATCTAAGTCGCATACGTGACCGTTGTCATAATTTTCAAAATCCTCATTGTTTGTGTAATCTACCCGAGAATTTGAAATTTCTCTGACATGTTTGGGTTGGCTTAACTTGTCTACATGTTTTTCCTCGATTTGATCAAAGTATGTTTCGTCTCCTTCCAGGCTATCTCTTGCTCCTTTACTCATCCCACTATAACCAGAATCACTTGCGTAGACATTGATTTCACTTACTGAAGCAGTGCTATCAACATCTTCATTAGCATAAATTCCGCTATCTTTCAGGTCGGCTTTATACCCATGCCATTGAGGATTTTCTTTTACTGTGTTTACTGAAGTACGACTGTGCATTGGGGATGACGTTAACGAATCATCACCGCTGTCATCGTAGAAACCAGAGCTGTCATAATCTCGAGTATCGTAGTATGTTGAACGTTCAACTGAAACCAAAGATGGGCAAGACTTTGATTCACCGAGCACGATCCTTTCTTTAGCTGTAGGTTTCGTTTTCTCAATATTTGGGTAGTATGCTGTGTTAGCCTCGTAGTGTGGGTATTCGAGTAAGCATTGATTCGAGTTTCTTTGACTTAGAACCGGCGTACTACACGTTTGAGTCGATTGTTCACTGAAGGATTGCCCGTGTTTTTGGTGTACAAATGAATCATATTGGTCATTTAAGTAGTAATCTGGATCACTGTCACAGTTATCCTTCCAAAGTTTGGTGAACTCGGGCATTGACCAACGGTGATTCTTCCCATCTGCATCTACCTGTTCTAAAATCGTCTTTCTACGCCGTTTACAGGCATGAACGCTCTCGTCGGAAGAGTACATGGAATCTCTCATTCCTCTGGCAGATTTAAGTTCGCATAGTACAGCCATGCTTGAACCTCTATTGCTTAGCTTACCGTCCAGGTCGTCACGTGAGCTGTGTTCACTCATGCAAAATTGATCATAAGAGTCTCGAAGCTCAGGGAACTCCGGTAACAAATTTCCAGTGTACACCATAGGTACGTCATCCTGGGAAGAGAAATATTTTCTGTAATTTTGAGGAAAACAGTCCTGCTCTAGTGTTCCTTTGTGGCGTTGTGTGTTGGACTTGTCTGTTAGGGTTCCGACGACAGCGCATGTGATATAATCGTCGCCCAATGGCGCTAATTTGTGTTCACATTTTGTTCTTGCAGCTTTCTTTACATGGGACTTGCGCAGATTTTCTTGGCTGTCCAGTACAAAAGATGATACATTAGGGATGAATTTTACATCGTGTAAATCGCACGAGTCCAATTCAGAATCAGACAGGGTGCTCTCCGTCGAACTAAAAACAAAACAAATGAAAGTTATATACATTCAAAAGTTACGGTTACCACTGAGTAATTTTACAAAATACAAAACAATGGACACTCCGGAATTCCTGATGATGACTGCAAGCTAGTCGAAACGTCGAATTAAAATGTTAACCGTTTTCAGAGTGTCCATTGTTTTGTATTTTATAATTTTTATATACACTCTTTTGACATTGTGTACTGGTCGCAGACAGCCACACAAGTAAAGAAGACAACTAAACAGTTTTCCTTTATGCCGCTATAGGTTTAAGCCATGGTTCTGTCCTGTCATAGTAAAATAAATCATTGAACTGAATATATACCTTGTACGCCAAAATATACCAAATTAAAAAATCCAAAGTTTCGAAATATGAATTTTGAGGGGGGGGGGTCATCCTACTGTAACGCAACTGTTATATATGGTATGCATGGCTTGTATTTTTATATTCGAGCAAAAGCATGCATTATTGATATAATATTATTAATATATATATATATATATATATTAATATATATATATATATATATATATATATTAATATATATATATATAGTCTATTTGGGGTACATCCTCGGGTAGAAGAATTTGCATCACAGACTACGTCATCAGTTAGTTATAGCGATTAGTTTTGAGGTTAGGGTAAGGGTTAGGGTAAGGGTTAGGGTGAGGGTAAGGATTAGGCTTAGAGATAGGGATTTGGTTATATCTGACGCCACAAACAACACAACTAGCCGATCACGTGATCACTTCTCCTCTACCCGAGGAACTACCCGGGAGATGGCTGTGAAACTCATTAGAATAACAATATAACTCATTATCTATGTTGGTCAACGTTTATTCATAAATCTGGTCCTTCACCGTCACGTGTGTATTGTATTTTTACCAAATCCACCAATTGCAATGTTTTAGGAAAGTCACCTATCCGTGACTAGAACAATAGAAAAACTGGAAATTGCTATTGGTGGATTTGGTAAACATACAATACACACGTGACTGTGAAAGGATCGGATTATGAATAAACGTTGACTAACATAGATAATGAGTAACATAGATATATTGTTATTCTAATGAGTTTCACAGCCATCTCCCCTTCGATAGGCTATGGCCTAATAGAGGGAGGAGAGCTTAAGAAATTGCTTCTTCTCAAAAGAGAGGGCTTGGCAGAGTTAATTTCCATTAATGGGTTTTGAATGGTCCTTAAAGATTTACCATGTATCAATGTAAAAACTGAGCACTTACCATCATTGGTTATTATAGACTTCCCAAATGATAAGTTGGTAAACACCAGATGTTTAATATATACCATTAAGGTATGTTCCTGTACAAAGTACCATTGATGTTTAATATATACCATTAAGGTATGTTCCTGTACAAAGTACCATTAATTGTAAATACTAAACTAATAATGGTAAGACTTCAGTTTTACATTTGAAAACCCCTTAATGGAAAGTTCAATTTTTTCCTGTTTATTTGACAACATATAACCACCTCCTACAAGTTCCTGAAAGTCTTAGTTCTATATATCGCTAAACTCATAGCCTACTGATGCATTCATGGTTGAAAAATATTAAATCTTTGTTACGAAGTCATTCAGCTATCGTTGAAGGTCTTTCTGAAATTATTGGGAGGAGGGGGGGGGGGGGG